GACACCCTGCTCAATATGTTTTTACTTGGTAAGTCAATATTCGAATGTCTCTTTCTTCATCGTTTCTTGTCTTCAGTTTCTATCCACTGCTTTTAGCCTTCCTTTTTATTAGTAAAGTGTTGAGGAGCCAAACCATTTAAATTCACAGCTAAACACAAAAAAAAATTGTAGTGAGTTGAATAAAAAGATCCTGTCTGGAGTTACCAACTTAGCAACACATGTTCTGGTGTCTCGCTTTACTGTGTCAAAGCAGTGCTAGCAACAGGTACTGCATCTAACTGTGAGAGCTGAAGCAGCTCTTGGAATAAGAATAAACTTCCTCTTTGATCACCTACCCAATATTGATTTTATTAATTTAAGACAGGGAAAGGAGAGTGTGTTTTGTCACAGGACATGACAGAAGGAGACTATGTGTGCTATAATTATTCAGGGTGTGTTGAAGAGGCTGCCTGCCACATGGCACCGATCGCTCACTGTGCAACTTCAACTGCCGTGTGCTCACTGACGCTCTATGCGATAGGAGGTCTTATAATCTAGTTGTAATGTTTCTGTTCCCTGGCATTTCTTCCTCGTCTGGCCTCTTCTCTCTCTCTGGCGCTTGCTAATCACTGAGCTGTGGAGAGCAGGTTGATGCAGTCACACCTGCAATTTTCTTTCTGTCTCTCCTCTCCTCTTGTCACCATCACTCTCACCTCTCATTGTCTGTCTGGTGTCCTTGTCTAGACGACACGTCCTTCCGTCCCTTCAGGCTGCCGTCTGCGAGTAAGACGGAGAGCTGAGGACTACCTTGGCTCATTTTTCAAGAACAGACAGGGAAATATGATGCATGGTGAAATAATTGTTCTTTCTCTTAAAGGTGTAGCTGTAAATATGTGAGTGTGTGTGTGTGTGTGTGTGTGAGCGCGTACACCACTCACATCCTCACGAATGGGTGTGTGATTCTTCAGGAGGAAATTTTGATCTGATTCCCAGCATTCAAAAGAACAACATGTTGTGGGTGGGTGCTTGTTGTCTTCTCAGCTCCCCCCCACCCCCCCATCACGGCTTGGCCCACATTTAGACGAATCCCTTTACATCCTATTATTGTATTATTCCTTGTTAAGACACCAAACAACCACTCAGCCTTGAGTTATATTATTGGGCAGGGGGTTCTAACAGAGCAGATTAGTGACCCAACAGGACAAAGATGATGACATCTCCCTCCTGGCAGCCGAACAAGAGAAACCAGATTCAATTCTGTAAAAAAAAAGTGTGTTTGTGTGTGTGTGTGTTATTGCAAACTTGGCTTAGGTGGGGTTTCAAGGTAGTTGAAGCGGGCTGTTGTTGTTGCTGAGCAGCACGCTGACCAACTGCATCTGCCCACTGCTGTTGTAATGGCTAGTATTCAGCCTCCTTGCCTCGAGCGCTGTTTCTCTTTCGTTCCCATGACAACTGGGCCTTCATTCTCCCTGCTCCGCCTCCCTGCCTGCTGCTCACTCCGTGCTGTCCTCAGGGGCCTCTGCCTGGGCCCACATTGCTGTGTGTGCATGCATGTGTGTTTTTGTTGTCGTGCACAAACTGGTCTCCTTCACCCTACACACCCACGCTGGAGCGAAACAGTAGCACTAGTTAACACCTCCACCTCCAGAGGTGCTGCGATATTTGTGTTTGTTTCTGTGCTTGCACATTTAAACCTATTTGAACAGAACCGTGCGAGTGAGGGTGTCAGGGTGGGATGTTTAGATGTCAGAGAGTGAGGTGGGGTTCCCCCATCCCTGTGTTCCCCTCTCCTTTAATTCCCTAATAGGATTAATCTCCATCGCTGTCAGGGATCGGCGCCGATTAGGATGCACATGACCCGATTTTCTTAAGAGCCCATACAAGTGCACTGCTGGCACCACTTAAGAACTGGAGAAATAAATAAACATGTTTTTTAAAAAACACACGGGCAGAGAAAACATAACTTTTACAAGGAGCTGGCGTAGCGGTGGCAGGCTCCCTGGATCCATGTCACCATTTAATAAGCTGCTACATAAACAGTTATAGTGAGTCCAGCATTGGTGCTGTCATGCCTCGGACCTTCGCTCTACTTGTTCTGCACTGCTTTGGTTGGCACTCAAAATGAAACTGCCCTTACACCAAGGCAGACCAGCCCACTTTTATAACCTGTGTGCTTTCTCACCAACACCTCTGATTCATTGGGATTTAAATGGGTTCAGGGAGGGCATCATGTTAACAAAGTGTGAGTGTAGCTCATTAGAATGCTTGAGAAAAGTGCATGAGAAAGACAGAGATTTACACAGCATCATGTGCAGCATATTTTTCTGCAGGAGGCAAACAGGAGAAATAACATTGAAGGAGGGGTCATTGACTGTGACTGGCAGGCTGTGGAGTCAGCAAACTGCCAATGAGACAGAAGTGAAGGCCACTGCACCTACTGCCGTTTAGGTCGGGCCAGTGGTCAGCCCCTCTCCCACTACAGATGTTTTGGTCAGAGAGATCTAATCTGGTTGCATTGTGGGAAGTACTTCATGTATGATTTGATCCAAGATCATTCTAAGGTTTTCACTCTATCTCCTTCTCCCTTAACACCAGCTTCAACTTCAAAGATCTCCTTGCCTGACATCGAGACACCCCCTTTTTATGTATTGTCCTTCTCCTTCCCTTGTCTTTCTGGCAGAGGCTCTCTCCTCTTTTGGTGTGTTAAGAGGGGCTTCGCGGCCTCTCTGTCACTCTCTACGTCTCTCTCACCCTTTCTCTCTCTCTTAGGCAAGGCTGTTAATAATGCAGGAGGATTAGCTGATTTATGTGAGCCAGAGGCACTGAGGAAAGCTGGGGTTCCTAGGGGCGACAGGCAGAAAGAGGGGGGGGAGGTGGTGAGTGTGCAGTGTGGAGGGCGGTTGCATACAGGAGCCCTAGGTGTCTGGATGATGGTGGTTGGATGTGTGCCTGCTGAGCATGCTGGCCATAATCCACTCCTCCAACTGCCCCCGACCCCCACCCCGCACTCCACAGAGCTGTGCCAGGAGTGCTCCACAGGGAAAAAGGTGATAGTAGGTGGCAGTATTGAGGGAAGGGTGGAATGGGGGCTGAAAAGAGGAACAGGGAGGAAAGAGACTGTAGTATCCCACCAACCTACTTCACAAGGTCTCTCATTGACGAGCAAAACGTTGCTATAGCAGCCTGACTATTAATTCTTCCTTATCATTTCTACATGCTTTTTTCTGCAAACGTTTGTATTCCTCCTTATATTTTGTCCTGAGAGCTGCATGTGGGGAAAAAAAAGAACTCACAACCCCGACAGATAACCAGATAATCCATAAAACAATATTAACACAAATGACGAACAGCAGTGGAAACTAGAAACCTAGCACACACACACACACAGAATTTTTAGGTAGTTTTTCGAGGTAGAGCTCAGTAAGGCTGGGGATCATGGGGGACTTCCACCTGTCTGGGGCTATGGCACAAACTGTGACAGAGGCGTTTCTCTGTGTGTGTGTGTGTGTGTGAAAACGTGTGTCCATGCCTATTTCTACGTGATTCTACGTGTGCCTCTGCATGCTCCTGTGCTCCGGCCTATGAGCCACAGGCTATTCGGTGCGGGAGTGAGAGGCAGACTGATGGGTTTATCCCTGCTGGCGGCCCAGAGGATATGCTCACTCACTGCCTGGCTGATTAAGACTTCTACCCAATTGTTCTCACACTCCCAGAAAAGGATCAATTCATGTTTGGACTGATTCACGTTTAAAGAAAATCAAATCGCACGGCATTTCTTGTTAAATCTGCTCGTCATGAGAAGCTGATAATGAATTTTTACCGTGTCGCTCTCTCCTATGTTTTCACAGCTAGCTCGGTGTGCACGCTATATGACACACTAATGTTTGTGTGTGTGTGTGCATGTGTCTGCGCAAGTGTGTGCGTGTGTGTGCTCTCATCCAGGCAACTTCATACATATGCATGAAACTTCACGGTGGTGTGACTTGGGGGAAATGAATGTGCAAAGAGCTGGGCACCCGGGCCCCTCACTCAAGTGCACTGGCGGGCGCGTAATGGGAATGCAATTTAAGCAGTGGTTAATCAGTGTGTTTTCTCCAGCTTGCCCAGCAATGCATAATAGACAATCAGCCCCCAGTCACACGGGCGTTGCTACAAATGGTCAATTACTCATCATAGTCTTGTTAAACACACAGTTCAGCCAGCCAGGGACAGATTGCTCTGCTGCTGCCATCATTATGGTAAAGAACAAAGCAAAGCAATGCTATGTGTCAGAAGGAAACATGAACAGTGTGAGGGAAAGAAGAGACAATGAGGATTTAGAAGAGGCCTGCACATGGTTTATTTCTGCTCATCAAAATGGGACAGAGGAGGGAAAGGGAAGAGAGGAAACGGCGATTCGAACAAAGCGGGGGGACGAAGGAGAAGGAGTAAAACACCAAATGGAAGCAAAAGAATAGTACAGTCGTACAAAGAAAAAGCAAGAAAAAGAGACAGAGAGGAGGTGAAATGGAGCAAAGCAATAAAAGAGATTGAGGGCATGAAAGTGAGAGATGGAGAGCACAAGATAATGGAGGGAGGGAGAGAAATTGAGAAAGGGACACTGGGGAGCAGGAGCAAAAGTGTGTGAGAGCGAGAGGGAGAGAGCCTGAGAAAGTGTGTACTCAGCTGTGAGATGAGACCTCTGTCTGCCCATGGGGAGAGGCGGTGTGAGGAGAGAGAAGACAAGGGGAGAGGACTTTGCTGACAGTGAGGGGGAGGAGAGTCTCACACTCTTCCTCTCACATACACATATATGCTCTCACTCATTCACCCTCTCCCCGGGGCTGTGATCAAATCTGCCTTGCTTAATGATTCCACCTAAAGAGCCAGTGGGCTTCTCACTCTTGTATCTATACTAAGACATTACGCATTTTTTAAAATTTTTATTTTAATTTTTGGTCACACTCATGTTCACAGTGTTCATGCACTCCTAATTCTAACCATGTTTTCTCTCCTTACCTTTTGTCCCTGTGGGAATGCAGGCAGTGGATTGATGGGCAATTCTTCCACCTCCTTCATGGGGACCTTTCTGGCCAGTAGTCTGGGTTCCCCCCCTTCCCACCCGTCTCACCCCTCCCGGCCGCCCTCCTCGCCCTCTTCACCCTCCTTCCGAGGCGGACCCCACTCCAGCGCCTCACAAATCTGGTTTCCCCATTCACATGAAGGTACCTCAAATCACAACACAAACACACACCCGCAGCCCCCCTCATCTGACTGCTGTCTGGATGAGATGATATCCTTGTCTGCAGTATTGGGGACAGAGCCTTGCATGGTATATTGTTGCTCTGATACTGTATATTTTTGGGTCGTGTTAGGTTTCCATCCAGAGCACAGCTTGTAATCGTCTAGCATGAGCTGCGCTCTCCCACCCTTTTATTTGTGCACTAAAATAGGCCCAACCCCAGCATGTTTAGGATGGAGGACTGTGCCACGGCTTCTGGATGCAGACACAGGGTCGAAAGTTCAGCCAAGGAATCTTGTGGTATTCAATAAACGTCAGCAGGAATGTCACTCAGGGCTCTCTGAAGCAGCACATGTGAATGTGCCAGTAAAAAGTTGCAGTGATTGCAGAGCTTTCAGCTGGTGTCTCCATCACAGCTTAATAGGGTGGTTCCCACCCAACGCTCAGCATTACAAAAATCCAACTACACACACACACACACACATACACACACACACACACACACGTGCACTGTCAGGAAAATAAACACACACACACCAAGTTCAACACTTCACATTACTGCTTAGATACAGCCAGGAAGTCACACAAGGATAAAGTAGAGAGATTAATCTGGTTGGGTATTTTGGGAATTCACAAGCCCAGGATGACAGATAAATGTAAGACCTATCCACCCACTGATTTATTAATGCAAGGTCTGCTTTCCTGTGACTTCACTTCTGTCACTTTTAGATTTACATGTTCATAATCTTTCGCTAATTACATGGGGTGATGGCCACCCAGTGTCATCCAGTGAACCGCAGTCTTTGAAGCTGAGAGACTATTGTTGTTTCAGCCCTCTTGTATTTATCTATTTATTTTCTAAGAATAGAACAGCTGTTAGTCCGCTGGGGGGATGCCAGTAGGGAGTGTTTGTTATTTGTGGTCACTGATCACCCCAGTTGCGTGATATGTGGCCAGGGCTGATTAGGTGCATTGCAGCTGAGATGCTGTCTGTTTGTCGAGTGTGTTGAGCCACTGGATGCCTCCCAGCAGCTTTCCTCCGTTCCTCCGCCCCACCTCACGCTCATGTCCTGGCCACCAGCGGCTGAGTCAGTGGACAGCTGCTACGGTGGTGAGGATAGGTGAAACTCTATCACTCTGCACATAAACACAAGGAAGAATAGATCTGAATGAGATATCAGCTCCAGCATCAACTGTCAGAAACATTTCCCCTCTGCACTCATTTTCCAAGTACCAGTGTTTCTTTTACCTCGTACTTTCAAGGTTTCATTGTCAAACACTTTCTTCTTGTGGAAAAGTAAAATAATATTAAGAGTGATGATGATAATGCCAAGCCTAATAAAAGTAATGGAGGTGATTATGACTGGGATTATTACTCAGTTGGCAATGGAGGCCATTATCTCTATTGCAGTTTAATTGCATATAACGCACTAAGAGCATGATTGAATCCAGACTGTTCATCAACCACATTCAGCTGTTCCCTCCTCAAGATAATTGCATATTGTCTTTTTCCTGTTTTGCATAAAAAGCAAGTCATCAAAATGAGCGGCACAATTACCCAGACTCTCGCCTCCTCTCTCCGGGTGTCAGCAGAACCCCACCAGCAGCAGAGCAGGCATTGACTTGCGCGTGTGTCGGTGCATTAGTGTGTCACTTGTAACCTCAAAGATATGCTCTGGATTTTTTTTTTTCTGAGTGTTTTTAAAGTGGCTGCTTACATGCAAATCCAAGCATAGCAGATCAAATTTGTATTCAGATTTTATTTAATGATTCTCATGTTTCTGACATATACCTGTTATTGTGCAGAGCGTCTTTGTGTCTGCTATTCCTCTGACACATTTTGCGCAGATTAAAGATCTAAAATTTATCATGTATCGAACAAGAGATAACGATTATCTAATTAGTCACTTGCTAACGCGTCACTTACTTGGTATGAACACTCAGAGGAATGTGGGAAGATGGAGTAGGGTAAAATCATACGCACATATGAGCTATAAAATTGACCTTTATTGGGTAAGAACATCTTTTCTATACATTAATTATTACAGGAATTTTAAATGAGATTATGTTGGGGATAAAGCAAAGCCAAATAAAATCTAATAATCATGAAGCACTTTAGGATGTGTGTGTCTATGCCAAGTCAGCGCAACAATCTCTGAATGTTTTTATTTTAATAACAGACAATTTTTAGAAATGTTTAATCTTCATTCCTGCAAAGCACATAGTAATCAAAAGATGCACATGGCAGTTATTGTATTTAATTCCAGTAAGTGCAGAAATGCATGAGAAAATAGCACTTTTTTTTTTTAAAGCCATGTTTTTCCCGGATATGAAATAGGATTTGAACCAAAATTTAATCACAAGATCCTTGGCCTGACATCCCACTAAATTATAGAAACAGAAACAAAAAACAACTAACAATCTGAAAATATAACCTACTTGATGGAAATAATAGCAGTTGGTTTGTTTTGTTTGTGATGTTGAACTGCTTCATCATAAATTTGTGACTGATGACGTTGATTGGCATTCATAATGACCACCCCTAAAACTTCTGCTGCACAACGATCTTAGATCAACATCCTATTTTGTGTTGTACAATTGTTTTTAAGCAGAAACTATAAACAACAACAGCAACAACAAAACGTGTGGCATCACCTGTACAGTCTGATTGGCAACTGAAATACAAAATATGTAAATCCTCCCTGGCTAAGCTTAAGCATCTTGCGCAAATCTGTGAAAAACAATCTGACAAACATACATCTTTTTTTTTTATTTTTTTGAGTCCAAACGACTATGAAACTGTCCAATTAGGAATGAACTTCAGTTTCTGGGGTTGGCTAAACTGAAGGGAAAGAAATGTGTGTTTCCTACTTCATACGCATTGGCACAGATATTAGTGTGAACATGATCTGAATGTGTTTAGAGAGGAGCAGCTCAGTCATGAATGTAGACCAAATTTATGACTTTAAGCAAACCTATAAATAACATCATCACATAACCTTGGCAGCACGAATCAAGATAACTTTGGCAAAGGAAGTTTTACTGAAAAGTCTTGTGTTGACTCAAACTTAAAGATTTATTATTTTGGGAAAAGAAACATATACAGTTCATTGTCTTACAAATGCGGAGATATTTGTAAAAAGGTCACAGCAGCCAAAAACTAAACCATTAGTGGTTTTCATGATGTCAGAGTACAGTAACAGTCATTGTATGAATCACATGGAATCGTCTGTTGCTCCTTTGCTGAGCTGAGATGCGGGCTCACTATCACAGAGGGGTATCAGTATGTGATTGTGGGTGCAAGAAGACAGGAGGGAAACAACCAAACAAGTACAGATGCAGTGTAGTGGCTGTTTTTAATAAATGTAAAATGTTTTTCATAACACCTGGTAAAATGGATTAGGCCCACCTAGCTTTTGAGAGATTTATTGTCATGTTTGGAACTGTTTGAATAAATCCCACTGAATTATCTGAATGGAAAATTTAAAAAAGAAAAATAGACCAAAAAAAAAAAAAGAAAAGAAAAGAAAACCTGCAGGCTCCTCGCTGGCCTGAGGCCAGCTGGCTGCAGTCCAAATGACTTCTTACGTTATGCCAAAAACAATCACAGTCTCATATCTCTGTCCACACATATAGACACACATGCATGCACACGCACAATTGCCAGCACACACCTGTCTAATCCACTTCTGTTTGATACGCCTTTCCAAGCCTATCTTCAGTTGTCCATCTTTCCTTCTGTGAGCAGTTGCTAGCTTTTCCTTTTGTAGGATTTAAGCTGCACCCCCCACCTCTCGTCTTCCATACTCCTGCCTCTTTCATTCTCTCTCTCTTGTGCCAGCCTGCATCCCTTCCTTTCAATTAGTCAAACCTGAAGAGATCCACCACAGCACTGCCCCTCCTCCGCCAAACATCTCTCGTCTCCTCTCCTCTTCTCCTCCCTTTCTGTGTCTTGATGGTTCTGTCACTTTTTCTCAATTAGCGGACCTGACAGGCAGCTCAGGCAGCTCCTCCTCTCCTCTTGGTCTTCCTATGCCACGCTCACTCTCTCTCACTCCGTCCTTCCATTGCTCTATCTCTGAAACGCTACAGCCATTTCCCTGGAGAAAATATCGGATTCTCGCTTGTGTTATTTTGTCTTTAGGAAAAAGTAAGAAGCCCTCATCAGAAATCGAATGTCTTGGTGTCTTCAGAGCAGGTGTGTGATGAGGGGATAGGAATGGAAGGAGGAGAGTGGTTTTGTGCTCGTGAGAAATGAAACACTGTCGTCTGCCTCTAATGCAGCAGGCTTAATTCTCCTCTGCCTCTCGGTGCCGTTCTATATCGAGCCCCCTTCTTTGTCCTCCCTGCTGGCCTGCTTCTCTCAGTCCACCGTGCTGTGAGAAATACCTTCAGAACTTCTGGAAATCCCTCTCTGGGATGCAGCGCTGTTTGTTCTGCCTCGCGCCCCTACTCCACCCGTGGAAAGGAGGGCATGCGCTGTGAACTCCCCCTCTGTCATTCAGTTGCTGATGCTGACTTGTTTATGTGTGCGAGTGTGCGTAGGGAGCGAAAGAGAAGCGAGGCTGCTGTGCAGTCAGCAGACTGCACTCAGACCCTGCTCACGTCGCCTGCAGCAGCAGCAGCAGAAGCAGCAGCTTCCCTTGTCCTGGCCAGATTAATGGCTGAATGGGCTCTGCCGTGCCCAGCAGTCCCCCTCTTGCCGCCCCAATGGAGAGCATGCTGAAACTGAGCGGGCTGGCATTATCGGGCACAGCCAGACCACACTGTGAAAAGGGATTACGCCGTCAATCGTCACGCTCACAAACAACATGCTGCCACAGAAAAAAAAAGGCCCTCTCCCAGCTTGGATAAAGACTGGCAAACAGCTCTCTGCTTTTCTCCCTCCCAAAATCAGAGAAAAACGTCTTGCTTAAACAAAGGATCCCCCCTCCTCCTCCCTCTGTAGATGAATTGGCATAAATGTGTGTGCTTATTAATCATGACAGCAAAGAAAGAGACAAAGACAAAAAAGGGGGGAGGGAGGGAAAAGAGTACGAGAGGTAGAAAAATAGGTGAAAGAAGGGAAAAGAGAGAACAAGTGAGAGTATGTAATTATCACCCCATTGCCCTCCTCAGAAAGCAGCACCTCCTGTGTTATTGCTGGGCTGTTTGCACTCTCTGTGCATTTCATTAATTAAGATGGGAGGATGCGGAGGCCGCACTAAGACGAGGTCATTAAGCCCACCACAACACTCCTCCCTCCCCAGAGCTGGCTTACAGCACCGGCCCCATTGTTCCACCAGCAGAAAGTGAGACATTCAACACTCTGAGCTGCTGTAAAAACCACTGCGCTGCGCACACACACACACACACACACACACACACAAGGCCAAATGAACCGCATCTGTGCTTTCCGGGATCAGGTCACATGCTTGCCAACACAAATACGTCTGTCTTTCATTTAGCTTGTATAGAGCCATGTTTTCCTCTCTTTTCTCCCCTCCTTCTTCCTTCACTCCGTCTGTGTTCTAAAGTGAGGCTGGAGGGCGAGACAGGTGCAAAGGCAGGGGAAAGGAGATGCAAACCCCCTGGACTTCACTAGGTGACTCTGAGGTCACCTAGATGGCTAGATGTGGGGTTACTGAGCAGTAGGTGACCTGCCTGTATGTCTCACCGTTAGGTGGATTAGAAAAGAAACAATGTTTTTCTTTTCCTACCTTTCTTTCCTTCTGTACCTGAAACTGGCTCACTCACGGTGATAGTGGGTACAGCTTTGTTTTCTTTATTTCTGTAGCCTGCGTATAACATGATGGCACAGGTTTTAATCATGGTTTTTTTCGTATCACATTACATAATATGCGTATTCGAGACCATTCACTATACAGCACTGTTGTCAGTAAGGGATTTCATCACGCTCTATTTTTGTATTTTACAGTTCTTTGATTTTTATTATTGAATCTCTTTCCTGCAAATGGGTGAAATAATTTATTATACAGTAGTAGAGAGAGGCTAATTTAATTCACATTGATGTGTTCAGATGCTATACTTTCCCAACTGCAGTAGAAGTGGGTTGTCATAGCGATGCTTTTTCTTTGTCCTAATATTGCGATGGGCTTTCATCTCAATCCATCTTTTCTCTCTCCTCCACCCTCAAAGTCCTTTTGTGTTTTTCAATGTCCCATCGCAAAATGAGTTTTTTTGTTTGGTTGTGGTGTAAATTTCCTCCAGATGGGCTTGATGTAATCAGCCCAGGTGTACTGGCTTACAGGCCCAACATCCCGATGACCTTTTACCTCTGATGTAGGTCAGTAAAGGTTAGCCGCCCGGCTCTCTGTTCATTGTAAACACAAGCCTCAAATCCATCCTTATCACTCCATTCAGATGGATAGTGGTACCACTGCCAGTTCTGAGAGTGAGAAAAAGAAAGAACCATATGTTTCAGAGACAAATTTCATATATTATAGCAATCCCCAAGCTTGTCTTTTTTTGTTTGCATTCTTAACTCAGGCAGGAAAGGCAAACATGGGAGGCAGAGTCAGTACTTATTTGCGTATGAACACCACCAGCTGCATTGGACCTAAAGGATTACGCTGGATAACTGCGTCTTGGTGGCTGTTGTCCTGTCTTATCAAATCTGTTCTTTCCTCTCTCTGCTCTCCATCTCAGCAGGTCCAGGGTATCCTCGATTCTCAGGGAGTCTGGCCCACACTTTCCTTCCAATGAGCCACTTGGATCACCATGCCAACAGTGGAGTTCTCTATGGGCAGCACCGTTTCTATGACACGCAGAAAGGTGAGATAATTGAATCAGATAGAAACAAGGCATTCAAATCCAATTGAATCAATATTGTATGGTGTACTTTAACAAGGAAGTCACAATATTAAGACAATAATTATGTCATTGCCTTCTAATTTCCGGAGTAATGTATTTCTCTTCCCTAACCTGCCTTCCTTCTTCTTGTAGAGAACTTCTACCTTCGGGGTCTCCCATCCCAGCCACCTCTCATCTCAGCCAATCACAGTCTGCCACCAATGTCCAGAGCAGGTTCAGGACACTCTCAGGGGTCCTGCAGCAGAGACAGAGATCCAGGGATTGGGGCAGGCATACATAAGGGTCTTAAAGAGGGGTCTGTGGAGAGAGGAGTGGTACTTGTCAAGGACAAGGAGAGGTCCAGTAGCAAACAGGAGGCTAAGGAGAGACACCAACAGCAGCAGCACCACAGCCACCAGCCACCCCAGCCCACTCATCACCACCACTCCCACACCCATCAGCATCACCCACACTATCCACAGCACCCCCTGCCCCTGGAGGAGGTTAACAGTCGGGCCCTGGAGAGGCACAAGGCATCACTCACAATGGAGTATAGCAAGGAACACCCTCAGAGTATGGGCAAGCCCCTTAGTGCCTGCTTGCACAATGGCAAGATGCAAAATGGAGACACGGGGAATGGAGCAGGGGCTAAGGTCTCCATGTCCAGCTGTGGTGGGGAGGGCACAACTCTTCGGGCTATGGGGGGTGGGGGGAGCAGCCAGGGCCGACATATGGGGTCTAGTGGCAGTAGTCGCTGCACCAAAGAGGGGGTAAGTGGGGAAATGAGGATCAGTGAGCAACCTTCAGACTGTCTGGAAAGGGGTCAGGCGCCACTTCACCACTCTCTGCCCTACTCTGTACCCCCACCCTTACACATGGGTTCTGCTGCTGGAGGGACACATCCCCATCCACATCCACATGCTCACCCCCACACACATCCTCATCCAGGGGGCTTCCACTGCCTTCAGCTCCACCCCAGCCACCCACACCACCCACATCATTCCCACCATACACACCACCATCCGGACTTTTTCTGCCCACCGCCACCTGCTCCCCTAGCCAACCCTGCCTCACATGAGAGAGGTCCAGTCAATGTGGGACGAGAACCTAAAGTCACGGGGCCGACATTTGTGCCATCTGTGGCCGACTTAGGGGACAAGTCTGGTGGGCCATTCCAGCTTGGTAACCCTGACTGCCAGGGTGTGGGTAGTGGAGGAGGAGGAGGCAATGCCAAGGACAAGACAATAGAAAAGAACAGTGGTGGTGGGCACCATAGTAGTTGGCATAGAAAACAGCCACAGCAACAACAACAGCAGCAGCAGCAACAGCAACAACAACAACAGCAACAGCAGCACCCATACAGAAAAACAGAGAAGGCTCCAGACTGGATGCAGTCACACCACCAACACCTTCAACCATCACAACTTCCTCCACCTCCCCAACAACAGCAGCCTCCACATTCTCAACAGCAGCACCAGGTTGTGCGATCACGGAGTGCTGAGTGCATCAACAGTGGTGTTGACATGGATGTGTTTAGACCCTCGCTGCCCCAGGGACCCAAAGCGGGGCACTCTGTCCCTCATTCTGTAAACACTTCACCTTACAGAGACTGTTCTCATCCAGGACCTCCACCTAACTCCTCCCCACTTGGAAATAAAAACTTGGGCCAACACAGTGGGACTGGAGCAGCCCACGGTCCTGGAGGCAGCTGCTCCTTACAGAGAGATGGCCAAAAGGTAGCCAGGATTCGCCACCAGCAGCACGGCCGACCTGGTCCAGATGCTCCCTCTCCAGCTGAGCTGAACCAGGGGAATAGTCAAGAGCTTAAAAGAAAGATGGACATGTCTCCGTACGGTTACAGCAACAGCAGTGGGCAGCACCACCACCAGCAGCCCACAGTGCCACCATGGGCTATGAGGCCTCCCCATCACATGTCACAACCTGAGGAAGAGCAGAGGAAGTCCTACATGGAGTTAGGAAGCACTGGTGGGCAACATTCGCAGCAGCCACCACAGCAGCAGCAGCAGCAGCAGCAGCAGCAGCAGCAGCAACAGCAGCCGCAGCAACAACAGCAGCAGCAGCAGCAGCAAGGAATGAGCTTGCCTCCTCCACAGCCCCCCACTGCACCTCCACTTGGTCAGCAGCAGCCACAGCAGCAACCTGATCCCCAGGGTCAAACACAGGGTGAGAGCAGTGCCATGAAAAGCTTACTAAAGTACAGCAACCAGCAACAGCCACTGCTTCTCTCCCAGAAGAGCCCCTTTGGAGGGCTGGGAAGTCTCAAATCAGGTCCGCCTGGGGGGAGTTGTGCCCTGCAGGGCAACAAACAAAGTCTACCATCCAGAAAGGGCCCAGCCAACGATGGTGAGCGCCCTGATTACAGTGGGCGGAGCCGGGACATGGGGGACACAGGTCATGGGGAAATTGAGGTGCGGCAGCCGCCAGTGGGAATTGCAGTGGCAGTGGCCAGACAAAGGGAGCCACCTTGTCGTTCAGCAGACAGTCATCCTAACAGCCGGCAGGGTCGAGTACATCCCTCTGTGAAAGGTAAGCAGTCTAGGTCACTGCCTCCTGAGATGCAAAGAGCAAGGACATTTTTTTTCTTATCCTTGACCTCGCTGTGAAGACAAAATGAACGAAAAAGAAACTGGAAAAAACCAAGTCTAAAGCTGAGGAAGCCTAGAATATTACTGTAAATACCTTTTGTAGTGACGAGACAAAACTTTATTTTTGGTGAATGCAGAATCTGGTATGATATATAACTCTCACTCCAGTATGATTGGCTCTACAAAAAAACGTACTAATCTTAATGTAGTTCTGTATTATTTAGCTTTCTTGGTATCCTTTATCAAAAATCCGACATATGTTAACAGTTGAATTCCTATATCAGTGATTGGTGTAGCAAATATGCATTGCAACTTAAACTATCAGATTTTTTAAGCTTCTCTCAATTTTGATAAAACACAACAGTCTTGCTTTTTCCTAAACTTACCAGCCCCATAAAAAAAAATAAAATAAACTGTAGCACCATTACTTTAAATAGACCAACAGCACACAATCCCAAACACATAGCTGTCATGTCTAGATCTGTATTCACTGCCTGTCCATAGGGTTGTTTTGAACAGTGGATAGTAGTGATGAAAAACACTCATGCCCAACATATTTAAAACCTTTTCGCATATTGATCTGCATTATTTTTTTTAATATTGTTTGCTGAATATTTGATGGTTTCATTGTAATATCTAAGCAAAATCACGTCAACATCTAGTTTAGGAGGTAATTTGTGCTTGTTCAAAAAAACAAAAACAAATAATACTTGTATTCATTTTTGTGTTTAAAAAAAGCAAACATTGAGAGACTTAAGAGTATGTCGTCACTACAGGAGACACCATTGAAAACTAATAATGAAGCTTTTGTCTGTCTCACAGGGCCACCTCGCTCCATGTACCCCTCAGATCCCACCACTGAGGAGGAGAGAAAGAGGATGAGTGAGGAACAGATAGGTCTCACTTGCTTGGACAGAGACAGAGATGCATATATCAGGTACGCAAATCTGCAGTTATTACTCAATATCCAGTTCAAATCTGTATTGTCAGAAACCTTCATTATCGTTGTCTCGTCTTGATTCCAGGGATAACAAGGAGAGGGTGGAGTTTGCAAGGATTCACCCCTCTAACAGCTGTCACGGAGACCTCACCTCTCATCTCATGGTGCCAGGTGGGACTTCCCTCCAGTCTGGCCAGCTAGGAGATCCTGCTGCACATTCTGCTCATCATCACTGGATGCCAAGAACTGGAAGCCCATCCCTCTGGATGACAGGGCATTCTTATGGTAAGGGATGTATGCCGTACATTAGGATGCTAAAATTGTCTTTTTATGTGGTATAACTTCATTTTTCAGTATTTTTATGTGCATCGTCTGGACATGGATGCTTTTCAATGTTTAATCTCATCAGCATTTTAAATTTAGCATCGATTCATCAGTCAGGGTAACAGTTGATTTGATTAGTTGTTGTGCTATATTTGTTATTTTTCTTAGCATACAATAAGATGGGTTTGTAATAATACTTTTTTATAAAGCAGGTATAGGTCATACAACCCTACACCAGAATCTGCCCCCGGGTTTCTCTGCTGCCATGCCAGGCCCTCTGCAGCCAGTCCTCCCTCTGCCTCAGGACCCCTCTGCTCAGCTAGTGGTCCTGCCCTCCGAGCCTCCCACTCATCCTGCAACCCATCACCTGGGTACGCCATAACCTTGCTGTCTCCTCTACAAAGCGAAGTGTACTTTTAAACACATTAAACAAATGAGTCTGTCAAGCGCATACAAACATTAGCCTCAGACGTCCAAATCCACATGAACTGGAAATTCACTAAACATAGCCGAGGTACGCTAGAATATTATTGTCATGTCAGTGTTCACAAAACATTGGACTAACATTAAAAAAAAACTGCTGCTAATCACATTGATTCAACGAAGACTGCTGACAAACTTCCCTTTCATGGGTTTGTTCACAGTTTTCCTGCACACCAACTGCTCGGCTCAGCAGCCACAGTGCTCCCAGTGGGTCAGAATGCACATACAAGCTAGACATGCACCACCCTAGACTGCCACGGCAGAGGAAGAGGAAGCGTTATAGTGAGGGAAAGATCACTTCTCAAAAGTCATTGTAGACACATCCTCAGCGAACAGGCTGTGGAATTTAATTAGCTAACAATCTTTGACGGTACATTTCCTTCTGGGCTCTGCAGGAGTCTCGGCTGGGAAAGGGAAGTGCATCCATACAAACTTTCCCAGAGGAAACATTTGCATATCCAACTTTATGTGCCTAAATTCTTGGTGTGTCTTGCAAAAAAAAGGGGTTAAAGATCGAGTAATGTGGATGAAATTGTTGAGATATAGATATTGTATATATTTTCCAAGTGGAAACTCTGTCATAGTCCATCACCCACATCAAGAATTGCTTGTCCTTAAAGCCACATAATGATATACCCACAGACATGGGAGTCAGGCTTGCTGCTGGGCCCCGTTGCAGACCCCCTGTTGTGGTTTGGCTGGGCAGGTGGGACTTTTTTAGCAAAAAGGCCACAGCAAATGCTCCAATGAGAAAAACATGTATTTTCAGCCCAGTATTTTGACCTCTAATCAACCTACAGCCATTATCATCTGTTCACATTTCATCACTGTCATAACTTTTTTCCAGCATTCCAAAATTCTCAAAGCAGTTCTTAAGAGACAGCTTTCAGTTCCGAGCGGGGGAGAGTGTGGGATTGCTGCTGCCTGGGGAGATGTTGTTCTGTGAAGTCAGAAATCGTTTTTTTTTTTTTTGAGGGGATAGATGCAGTTGCTATAAAATGTGAACACAATGATTTTTAAATGATCCATAATGGTTTCACTGTTTTGAAATAGTTGTGTGGGAGGTACATAACGATTGATAGGAGAACACAATGGTTCGAGGTTCACTAATGTATTCCAGTGTGTTGCACATGGTGTTGTTGTGTATGAATCCAAAGACAAGTGATGCTGAATGTGTGTATGCGGATCATGTGTTATTGTTAAGGTACCCCCCTCCATCACGTTCCTCCTCCTTTTTCTCATTAGATGTGATGGAGCAGCCAGGACTGTGGCCCCCTGTGTACGGTGCCCGGGGCCCACCCTCCCACATGCAACATCCTGCTGTGTACTCCAGATCTCAGTTTCTACGGCAACAGGAGCTGTACGCTCTCCAGCAGCATCAACAGCTTCAACATCAGCACCAGAGTCACCAGTCGCAGCAGCCACAACTGCAGTCTCAACCTCAGCAGCAGCAGCAACAGCAGCAGCAGCAACAACAACAACAACAACAACAACAACAACAACAACAACAGCAGCAGCAGCAGCAGCAGCAGCACCAGCAGCAGCAGCAACAGCAACAGCAACAGCAGCAGCAACAGCAACAGCAACAGCAACAGCAACAGCAGCAGCACCGAGCTGCACATAGCATGAACATGCAACACCAAGGAGCTCACAACACACAGGTGATTATGTAGTCAAAATGTGCAAGGAACATTAAGATTTCAGATCATCCATCACTCTGGCTACACACACACACACACACACACACACACACACACACACACACACACACACAAATAGAACAGGATTTAAGAAGAGTAGCGTAGGTATGAGTCAGCTTAAAAAGCTTAGAATCTCGCATGCCTTTTTAGTCTATTTTAAAGTCACCTAATATTATTCTGGGATATGCTGATTTTCCTGCAGGGATGAAGTGATTTGCTGAATGTAGGCTACAGAGCTTTTGATGTCAATAACTAGATTGAAAGAAATGGATTATCGTTTAACTTCTATAGAAACTTACTTGCTTTTTGTCTTCAAGATTAGTTCACTCAATGTAGATATGATAATAGTTTTCATTTGAATTCTACAGATGCAAAAGAGATCAGATGAGCCCTCGGTGGAACTAGAAGAACTCATTTCAGAACCCCGAACATCTAAACCTGCCAAGGCTTACTCTTACAACCCACCACAGAGGAGCACATCACCCCCGGGTGCTTGTGTTTCTCACTTGTCCCCTTGCTGCCAGTCCCCCTCACTGCGACAACATGCCAAAAGCACTCCGTCAACACCTTGCCCTGCTCCAAGCCCCGTTGCAGCAGCCCCTCACTCACCTGCCATCAGCCCTGCCCCACCTCAAATGCTCAAGAGGGCTGAATCCCAGGACAAGAGAGGAGAAGGGCAGCCCCCACAGGATTACCCAGAGTCTCTGGAGCCTGGTAAGCATGAACAAAAGTGTCTACCTGCAAGCACAAATATAGAAATATGCCTCAAAGTTTTTCAGCTGATAGTATATGCAACATTGATAACATCAGATGAACGCTGATTCTGATGGTGAATGGCTTGTTACAGATTTTAACTAAAACAAATCTGACATCGTAACAGAATAAGATCGCTTGAATAAAGCAGCACCCTGTACATTATACTGATTGCTAATTGAAACTGCCACTCTGTATGGTCCCTTTTTTCTGCTGGTGTTGTGGTAATATGTGTGGGTGGCTCTTTTGGCAAGCCCCTGATTTACTAAACAGCTCAAAGCTCAAGAAAATGGCTGCCGGCTGTGCTGGGGCTTTCCAATACTGTTACCTTGGTAATGATTGAAAAACACCTCAGTAGCGGCCCTCACCTCTCCTCCACCTCCAAAGGCCTCACGCTCGCTTCATCATTATTAATGTCTGGCTAACGGCTCTCGCACGCCAGAGGAATTGTGTCAGGCTTCCTGATATACCAAAGGTCTAGCCCACTTTAAATAATACGCACACGGTTACTTGTGGTGTTCTACCCTGCTGTCTGCTAGGAGATCGCAGCAGCGTGCTACTTAATTTCCTTTCCTTGTTTTTACCCCTTTGCGACCTCTGCAACAGGGGAGTTAAGTTTAGTGCGAGCATGATGTGTAAGGATTTTAAGCTTGCATAACACCTTTAAATGTACGAGTCTCATCAACAAAATGCTGCTTAAGGTTGTATTTCAGCCAAAAAAATTATTACGCAATATTTTTGTGGGCCAATATCGATAACTATTTTTCTTTCCATCTATAGACTTGCCTCCTGGATACACCTACCCTGCTATTGCCATGGGCTACAGGAGTGGACCCTCCCCTCAGGATGTTCGACTGGCAGAGCCGGCCGACCTGGAAGCGATCCAAGTGGAGCCTGCTGAGCATGCTCCCCAGCCCCTCGCCAGCCTAGGGGAGGAGCTAGACTGCCAAGTGGTGGTCAGGCCCCTCTCAGAGCCACTCCCACTCAAGGAGCAAGAAGAAGAGAAGAGCGTGGTTGAGAGAGTTCTAGAACAGAGGGAGGAGGCGGAGGTAGTGGCAGTGACAGCAGCCAACTATGTGCCTGGAGAGGAGGAGGCAGAGGAGCAGGGGCCTGCTGAGGAAGAGGTGCTGGTTTGCCCCCCTGCTGAGAGCCCAGTTTGCGAGGCTGCTTCCTGTCCAGTCCCCCTTTCAACAGAGGAGCCTGACAGGCCAGAAGCTGTCATTACCTTGGAGGAGGAAGAGGAGGAGGAGGTAATGGGCGAGGAGAGTCAGGTGGAGAATTCTCAAAAGGTCAGCTTGCACGGAGAGCAGGAGCCAGAGCTGCCTGCCATCATCGAGCTTGACCCTGCTTCCCCTGTAGCCCCCGAGTTGAAGTCCCTGTCCCCCGAGAAGGCAAAGGACAGCGAGCTGCAGCATGAGAACAAGATGGCTCCTGATGACATCTCAGTGGATTTTGTGTGTCTTTCCCCTGCTTCAGCTTCTGCCCCAAGCCCAAGTCAACCAACTGTTGCTGCGCCCCACAAACCTCTTGTGCCCTGCTACTGGAGTCTGGAGCTGCTGATTGCAGCTGCTTTCTGCACAGACGTACCGCCATTTCCCTTGTTCCCTTTTAATGCCCCATCAGTTGCCCCATCGCAGTATAGCCCCCACCAGGGCATGGAGCTTCTGAGTGAGCTGGCTGACCTGGAGCTACAACAGCAGAAGCGCACCTGTGGGAAAAGCCAGGGTGAGGGACGGTGCCTCTTTCATGAGTCACACAAATTGACATACACACAGCAACACACTCATATCAGCCGAATGCACTTCTCTCTCATAGTTTACCCTCCTTTTCCTCTGTGTCCACTGAGACAAACTCCCACTCCCCCCTCAGGCCTAGCCTCCGTCGCTCTGTGTTTCTTCCCAGATACTCGTCTCTTCCTGCTGGTCTCAAGAGCCTCTGGTGGATTCTAACACGTCCCCAGAGAGGCTGTCTGCATGCCTGCTTGCTGTTGCTCTTCTTCAGCATGTTAAAGGCACTTTTATTTCCTAAAAGGCTGTTTTAACGATGCAGAGACCTCAGGAGATGGAGGAGAAGCAGGAGGACAGGGCTGAACTGCTAGTGAAGGGTGTAAACCTTCCTTTCTCACTCCCTCTCTCTCGTCCAGCTTTCCTTAGGGAACCGTCTCTCTGTCTTTCCATTCTGCAGCTGTTTGATCCTCACATGTGCACAAATGTGCACACACCCAAACACAAATACACACACTTAAACAAAAAGGAGACACACCAATTGGTTTCCGTCTCCCCCAAACACAACACGTTACTGAAAGTTAGTGTGTAATCACAAAAGCAGTCGATGTTTTCAGCACCCTGGAGCATTGCCTGGCTAATTAGACCCCATTGTTTTAAAGTGCCTTTAAAAGCTTCCTTGTTTTTCAAAGCACCATGTGTTTTTTTTGTTTTTTTTTTTTATTCATGCAAAAGGATGTTTTGTGTTTACCACAGCATCCTAATGCATTTAACTGCTCCCACAAGAGGGTTCTATAAAAAGGGTATCATCTGATTCCAGAGTCACTGATGTTGTCTTCGTGATGCGATACTGTTGACAGCTCGGGGAAGTGGCACATGTCGGTTTCGAGTCACAACAATAGGCTTTACCAAAACAAGTACTAAAACAAGGAGGAGTATCAGTATTTATTATTTTTTCATATTAACATGTAAGACACTGTTACTTTGTAAACAAAATGCCACTTTTCTCTTTGGGACTACGCTGTTATCGCTGCTGTTCAGCCGGTAGCTCGGTCCAATAAAGGCAGGAAGGCTGCACACGAGAGGAGCTTGGCCCAGATGGCCACTGACATCTCAGCACCTGTTGACTCCATATTGCTATGACCTCTGAAAAGATTTGCTACTGCCACCTCATACCGGCTTAATGTGTCCAATTCCCCCCCCAATTTCTTTCTTCAGTGCCATTTATTCACTATATGATAAGATTACTGCTGAAATGATGAAGCCACATGTGCAGGTTTTGAGGCTGAATGCTGACACATAGTGCTCATTATGCACCAACCCCCCACATTTTCCTCTTCTAGTGTCTCTAAATCAAGAATATATGGACACAAAGTGAACCAAATCAGCACTTTTTTGTCTTTCTTTTGTTCCCCTTCACAGATGAGGAGTTGCTCATGTTTGACCTCCAAAGTCTTGCTACCTTGGCCACAGCCCGTGCACTGGAGTTGGGCTCCCAGGAAGGCACCAGTATGGGCTCAGGGCGACACTTCCCAGCCCGCAGGATCCTCAATTTACGGAGGAAATGCAGCTGGACACCTCGAAATGAACCAGTAAGACGACAACTTGTATCCGTCTTGATGCTTCAAAACATAAAGAGCCTTTAGGGTTATGTTGACTTTTTATTCAAATAAATAAACCGATTACCTTGCGACGACAAATTTTGCTTGAAATGTATGCTCTTAATCTTAAAAATAACCACTAGTTTTGTGTGCTTCAGGTGTGCCCAGCTAAAGTTAGCATGGAAACAATGGATGGTCCTGAGCTTGCAATGCGTGTGAAGCTGGCTGACATACAGCGTCGTTACAAAGAGAAGCAGAAGGAGCTGGCCAAACTCCAGAGGAAGCATGACCATCAGTGAGTATGACCTTATCCTCTTTTTTTCTTTTCCGAATTTGCCATCAAAAATCTCCAAAGTAATAAAAAAATGTAAACCTATTTTTACTGCAGCAACCTTTTACATTTAGTGTCACGCAGTGCTTCTGTCTGCTTGTGTGTTTACATCTGCGTGTGCAAGCAGGAAGGAGGAAACACCTCGCAGCCCAGCACGGCGAGGGCCGGGGCGGCCGAGGAAGCGGAAACCCACCCTCACCACAGGCCCAGTGTCCTCAACTGAGGGCCAGAGAAAAGTCAAGTGAGTATCAGTCAGGCCATCTCTGCTGGCTGGAGTCCAGTCTTGCATGATAAACCCCTCTGTATCACCGGCACTTAGGGACTACCTCTCATTGGCATAAACAGGAAATCAGAGAACCGCCAAACCATTCGAGGAAGTCTGTGTGAACCCTCTTTAATCTAATCAACTCTGGTGTTAATTATTTACCAGCACAAAACATTTATCTAAGCTTTGTATATGTACGCCATACCTTTGCAACTTTGCTAAAATCCCCAGTGGCATTACTTTAGTGCATTTTGAGCTTTACTGGGCTGTGTTTGGAGGGGGCTGGGGGCTGGGTGACAGGCAGAGGATGTAATTAGAGTACTGTGAATTCTCCTGTAATCTGTCCCAGCAGCAGGAATGTGACACACCACTGCCATTACAGCCATACGGGGTCACCAAGGGTCCAGTGGATAACATGAGGGTCAGACAGTTCAGGCAATCAAAGTTAATCTGACATTTAGAGCTTTCATGCGATGTCTGTGTATGTGTTTCAGGAAAAAGAAGAAGAAAAAAAAAAACAATTAGTAGAGAAGAAGGGGCCAGTAACTGGATGTTGTTCAGGAAACAATTAACCTGTTTCTTTCTTTAAATATATTGATGGCATTTTAAAAATTGTAAGTGTCAGCTTTTGTGAAAACAGCAGTAACATTGCTGTTTGAGAGCAGTGGTGATAAACCAGAAGGTTCGAGGGGATAAAGGTTTGCTGTCAAGACTTCAATTAGCCTTGTCATCAGGGTTTGGATAGGCTTAGGGCACAAAATGTCACACCGCAGCATTCCCCCTCTCCCTCCATCTCCTCTTCTCCCTTTCTTTGTGGTTTCTGGGCAACAGTCCACAGTGTTCCCAGCTGCCCCTCTGCGATGTCACCTCCACTCTTCTTCCACCCATGTGCCCCTGCCCCCTCGCCAGGCCAGCACTGATCGGAGTGGGGATGCTGATGCTGGGTGACAATGACACCCAAATGAGGGTAGCAGGGCTAGGGCCCTGCGGTGAAGTGCAGTAGAGAGAAGGTGGGGGACAACATGGGGGTTGGCAGGGTGTTGTACAGGACACAGTGCAGTAAATCGCACTCTGTCTCACTGTTGTGTTCACATCTGAACCACAGTTCATGTGCATTTGCTTTTCTTCCAGAGAGTCAGGGTGCATTCCCTTTCATATCTGATGTGCATGTACAATTAAGAAGAGAATGACGTAATGCTGCTGAGTGAAGGACAGGCGAGCGGAATGGGGTCTGATTAGCCCCATGTTGCGTTTACATGTCAGGGTTCTATGAAAGCATAGACTGCACCTGCCACTCACACCACTGCAAGACACTTTTGTGCTGATGGAGGTCAGTGGGTCAGTGGGTAGCAGCCTGGCCTGGTAGAATATTTTTTCTTACCTTATTTTGCTTAAACCGCTGGGACTGTGTGTGGCAGCATTTGAGCGAGAGATGCATTCAAGCCTCCTCGCTTGTGCAGTCTATACATTTGTGCAATTAGGTATGGATGCAAATGTGTGCTTATGAGCATTTACGCCAGCATTGTTTGTTTTTGTGCATGCCTCTGCTATTCCTGTGGGTACAGCACTGGGCTCCTTTGTGGTGCCGCTTTGATTGGAGGAGAGCTAGAGAGAAGTACTGCTTGCCAGCATACCCCACTAATCAATTCTGTTTAATTAGTCACTGTACGCTCAGTCCCACCAGCCCCCCCCCCACAAAGGGGAGGGACTCTGTCACATTGTGTTTGTCAGCAGCAGAATGCTCGGCGTGGCGGGATCCGCCTCACAGGGACAACTCACACTTCCTGGCACCTCTGTCACTCTGCAGTCAGTCAGTGGGCAGACGGTTCCTCTGCCTGACAATTGGCTTCAGTTTTTTATGTGTTACAGGTGCATGTTGACACATTGATTATTCAAAATAATTCCATTTTTTTTCATAAGGTGCCAAATCATAACTCATCTCAGTAGTAGTATGACAAAGACCTTATAATATTACAGAGAGAAGCCCAACAGTTTCCCCATGAGCAAGCAATTATGAGATTTACATACAATCAAGGCTGATATACATCCTCCCATTTCACATGCTCAAGTTCCTACGCTGATAAATTACACATAATAATGCATTTGATTCTCAGCAATATGTGGTTACAGAACGGTGTATGAAACCATATAAAACAAAAATGAAATTTGTACATGCACAACTTTATTAATCACATTTTAACTGCTTATTCTGTAAATGTGACTCTTTTCAAAGGCTGCATGCTTACTAGGAGAGGGGAAGTTAATCTTTTGTTTGAGCATGGCCTGGCTCACGTCGGTGTGGTCTATGGGCAGGCTTCCAGAGGGAAATTCAAGGGCATTTGGAGTGGTTGGCCTGTGATGCGACTCAGTGTAGGGGAAAGAGTGTGCCACAGTGATATGAAAATGCAACTGGAGAGCTATGATATTCTCTGAAAACAATACTGCTGCATACAAATGCAGTGCCTTCAACCATCCACTGCATCCTCAAAGCTGTGCAGTGCTTCACAGACCGCAAACACCCTCCCTAGATAAAGCGTTAATGCTTCTTATACCACACTGCCCTCAAACAATCCCAGGTTCCTTGTTAGATTCCAGTTTTTCAAGTGTGTGTCTCAGACACTGGGCTCTGCTTGTCCTTTTTTTTTTGTCATTCTGTTCATCAGACAGAGAAAGGAAAGTTATTAGATCCCACAGAGAGGTGACTCAACTCTGTTTTTCCCCTGTGATGTCCTACCCCCTCTCTTGCTTTCAAACCACCGCCATTCTTCTCTAATGAATGCCTCTCCCTTGTTTTGACTGGCAGGTCGATTGGGGCGGGGCTTGGCTTGTCGCCTGAGGACCTAGGAGGGGGCGGAGACAGTCACAGAAGGAAGAAGAGGCTGTCCAGTCGAGGCTTTGAGCGACTCAGCAGCACACAGGTCAGGGTCCCCTTGTCCTGCTCCCTTTTGTCCTTCTATGCAGCTAGAAATGAAAGAGGCCGCTCTTTGTTTCTTTGCATTTGATATATTCCTTTGTTGCACACTATTTCTAATTAGGTGCTACCCTCAGGAGTCAAATCCTCTGCTCTCCATATTAATATCTTTTTTCAGTGGGGCTTCTACGATTCCTTTTTCTTCTCTGTGTGTGAGCAAATGAGGGCCCTCTTGCTCTGACATTCTGATGCTTTTTGCTGCTGCTACAACCGGGAGTGTAACTGGCTTTCTCTGGCTCTCTCATCTCTCTCTGTTGCAGCAGATAAAAGCACAGGGCTGTAGAAAGAGTAGTCTTCACAGCGTGCTCAGCTCCAAGTTGGCTGGTGATGTGGCTCAGCTCAAACAGAAGGGCCAGGTTAAAAAGAATCTCTCGGGGACAGGCTCCAGAGACAAGGAAGTTTCACCCTGCAACTCCAACACCAAGCATGGACACAGAAGCCAGGGCGCAAGCAAAGCCGAGTCCAGGCAAGAGTCTGGAGGACAGAGCGACACAGGTAGATCCTGGCAATCACTGTACAAATTGTGCCTCACGCTGTTTGGATTAAATGAGCAGTTTCACACTGATGAAAGTTCCATCAACAATTAGCCTAGATTTAAACGGGGATTGGTTTTGCAAACTTTCTTAGCAGCCAGTGTGGACAGTGTCCCTCAAGAGAGCTGGATTGGACTGGTGCGCCGTGGACGTAAAAAGGGATCAACTGCCTTGACGCAGGGTTCTTCCCATCTGAGTCAGCCGAGGGCGAAGGTTCTCCGCAGGCAGAGGCAAGAAGCAGTGGAGGAGGAGGAGAGCTCACCTGCAGAGAGCGACTCCTCTGATCAAGGTACGGCTCTGAATGCTGCTGAATACTTCAATAGGGTCATGAAATTAGCCAAAGAACCAAAGACACTGGCTTTATTCCTGGTCTGGACTCTTAAACTTTAAACAGTTCTACATGTTGGAAATATCTAATTGTCCAACTAAGATTGTTACACCCATCTATCGAGCAGATTCTTAAACCTACACAAATCTAAGTTGTTACAGAAAACAAATCAATAAGTGTATTAAAAAAGCTTAAAAAAAAGACACAAACCCTGAAGTACATATCTGACCAGAGGATTGCTGACACATTGAATCCTCTTAAAGAACGGCCCTTCATATCCTGCGTACCTTTTGTTAATTTGTAAATCACTTGAAAACGAATCGGAGGTGAGTGAAAAGGTGTTGATGAGAGTCTTGTAGCAGACTGGGGTGTGTATGGACATTCAACACCTCAGTGATTGGCCTTGTTGGCTGGTCTGGGCTAGATGTGCAGCCACAGCTGTGGACACTTGGCTGTGAAAGGCTTTGACAGCCCTGGAGACTAGCAGACTGGGTCAAGGAGCTGCTTGAGAAAGTGCAGTGACAAACACAAAAACTTACTCCTACTCTCTCTAGAACACTAGCTCACAATAACATATGGGTTCACACCAGGAAATACCACTGAGGCAAAGCACTTCATACATCATTTCTATGAACCGTTAAAACTATTTACTTAAATGCTAATGAAGTGCCTGTGAAATGATTGAGAGCAGGTTAAAGAACTTTACTGGTTGGTAATGATTTAAGAGATGGATTTGATAAGCCGTGTGAGTTCAAAAAAATCCTACTAAATCTATGCTGTGTTGCTTGCTATCACCATCAGAAGATGAAGAAGAGGAAGGCAGTTATGATACTGATGAAGGTCAAGATTACAGAGTCCAACCCCCCAGAGACGTCACTTCTAGCTCTTCCGTGGCAGGTCCGAGTCCCTCATCTGTTGTAAAACTGGAGGCCAATCAGAAAGCCAGGAACAAAAAACAGAGACAGGAGCTTTATGGTAAGACTGTCCTTTGAAAATGATTTATAAGTCAACAAAGCTGCCCCACGTCTTCACGGGAAGCATCTGTTTTGTGTTTCTCCCTCTTCCTTGTTAGCTCGGTCTAAATCTGTTTCTGTAATTGAACCGCACAGGCTCCCAGAGTCTGTCTGGAGCAGAGGGGGAGGTCAAAGTGAGGAAGAAGCCTACCTGTAGGCTGGGCATGGCTGCTGCAGTCAAAAACCACCAAGACCACCAAGTTCAACGACCTGAAGGTGTCAGAAGAACATGTGGACCCAGGTCTAAGGAGCCTCGGTGGGGCAACCTCGGGACCAGGGGCAACCGCTATCGGAGGAGCATGGGGCTGGCCACCTTTCCAACTACCAATGAGAGGCTGAAGAGGGCGACCCGTAAGAGCACCATCCTGAGAGGAGCAATCAGTAAAGTAAGTATTTCCAGCATTTTGTATAATTTTTCATAAACACTGCTTACATTTGCTAGGGTGACAAACTTACAATACAAATAGCATGAAAAAATTAATAAGATGTTTTGGTGTGCTATGTTAAAAAAAAAAAAAAAAATTCAGTGGTTTGGGGTCATCAAAGCCTTCTGGGGATGGAAGCATATAAGCAGCAACACATATTAGGTGCTCTTTAAGTAGACTCATTAATGTGTCATTACTGAAATGCACATAGAGAAGATGGACAGAATAGTAGGAGTCTGCAAATTGTCTTTTAGTTCTTATAGAACCTGGCAGGCATCAGGGAAAAAATTTACCAAATTAGAGCGTACAAATTTTAATTTATACCCACAGTTTAACTAGCGCCTGTAAACTCATAACACTGAGAACAAGTTCCCTCAAATTTATAATTCACATTCCCCAAATTATCATTTTCTGATAATTTATGTGCACAAACTTTGCACCCATTTCTGCTTTCCCTACACTTGCTGTCACCACAACCAGAGCGCTCATGGGGATATAACACACTCATCTTGTCCTTTCTCATGTCAACGTTAACAGAGGAGAAGCTGCTGGTCAGTCGGAGCTCAATCTCTGCAGTGTGAGGAGGGAGGCCGAGGACGAAGGAGCAAGGGCCAACAGGTATCAGCCGCAGCGAATTTAACACCTTTTGCTACATGCGAACCCACAAACTGAATCCAAACACGAGCCTTCATACAACCTCTTAAAAATTCTGATTACGTCTACTGTCCTAGATTTCTCACCACGAGGACTGATACTGTAGAACTATTAAAAGTACTTAGCACATTGCACACAGCCCAACCTCCTGCTGAGTAATCTTAGGGGAGAAGAGGATGAGAGAGAAGATGTGGGAAAGGGGGGGTGGCTCACACTTCTCTGCTGTGACAGAGTGGAAAAAAAAGTCAAATAAAATGGCTGCAAATAGAAATAGGTGACGATAAAGGCACTGTAAAGTCCCCTTGCAATTAAGTCCTTGTTTGAGTAGCATGCTAAACAATGTCTTGTGTCTTCTATCAAATCTCTATCTCCATATATATTTTTAATCTATCTTTGTATCCATTTTTTTTCTCCTGTCCGTTCCTTCTGTTACGTTGTGCAGCCAAAGGGACGAGCAGTGAGTCGTCTGCTGGAGAGTTTTGCGGCTGATGAGGGCTTTCAGATGGATGGCAGCAGCTTCTCAGAGGAAGAGGAGGACAGCAGGCATGCATACAACAGCAAAAGCCCTGAAGGTTCAAGATAAAGATTGAATTATCAGGTTGTTTTAGTGATGTTAGTTTTAGTGATGCCGAATGTTAATTTTAGATGTTCACTGTTTGTTTTATGCAGCTCCTAACTGTGTCCTGACCAAAGAACTCTTAACTGATGGACTGAAGGTGCTGATCTCCAAGGAGGATGAGCTTCTATATGCTGCCAGGGTCCACACTCTGGAGCTTCCAGATATGTAAGTGAACAGTCAGGGTGTTGCTTTTTTCAAATTATTCATTTCCTAATGTAAATATTTTCATCTTAATAGTATTTATTAAACTTATGAAGCCCAAAACCTGCCTGTTCGTTTGAAAATGTTTAAAAAAAAACTAAACAAATACACTAAATGGTGTATTTATCAGAGCCAAAAAATTTATAAAACGAAAGACATAAAATGTGCTTGAGTTTCAGTTTTCCAACAAACCAAATCAAAACCCCTTTATTCTAGATCTTGACATTAAAAATTTGACCCACAGCAAACATTAACAACAAATAGATTCTGTAATATACTTTATACAACTATACATTTTGGACTCCTCAGCGCAGTTGGCTGAACTGCAGGGGGTGTCCTTAAACAGAGCAGACAGAAGACAACTGTGGAATCAAATTAGACACATTGACAGCAAAATAAAATGTACTTGATCAATAAAATAAATGTAGCATGGATCAATAAATGGTACAGGGGAGCAAGATGCTGGAAGATACATTGAGATTAGTGGAATATCTTTCTAGAGTTGAGTGAGTAATGCCTGGTCTGTAGACAAGCTGTAAACGGTAAACTATCTATGGCTTGTGACCCCGACATTTCCCAAATATTGTTAACACCTTGCGGCAGTTGGAAAAATGTTATACATATTTAAGAAATTCAACTTTCGTGTTTTGTTTCATGTGTCCATAGAAGTGTAGGACTACTTTGTAGTAAAATGCCTGTAGTGAGTAAAAATGTGATCGTCAAAAAATTGCTTCAAACTGCTTGAGGTTTAGAGGGTTGAAATCTAAGTAAGCAGAACCTAAATATGGATCATCCTTTCAAATCACGTGACATATTTACACCAATGTATGATTCATTTATTTTTATTTTTATAATTGTTCAAATGTTCTTAAATGAACCTTGTGCAAAGTGGCATATCTAAGCAGATGCTGAAGCATATCTAAAAGTGGTGGAAAATCCAATTGATGATTATCCTAGAGGCTAATACGTCCTTATCAATCACCCACCACGGTTTATTGAGGTCTGCATCGTAGTTTTCACCAGTAGTTTAAAAAAAAAATCTCTACATGCCTTTTCGTCCTTACATAACAAACCCTACATTATACCATACCAAGCTCAGAGTATCAATACTCCTCCTCTGGCTCTTGCTGCAAAGAGATGCTATAACAACAGCAGAGTGGGAGTAACATATGACATGGGAGCCAGGCAAGCATAATACAAGCATCTGAAAATAGCCTCATCTTTTTCTCTCTCTCTGCTGTACTTTTTCTCTAGCTTCAGCATTGTTATTGACGGTGAAAGAGGAAACCGCCCAAGAATCTATTCATTGGAGCAACTGCTACAGGAAGCTGTAAGTTCACCCCACTGCACTAAAACGCTCTTTGTTGCAAGAAAAGCCATCGCTTGTTGGGTCACTCGGCACCTCTATTTCCCCTTAACATTCTTCGCACCCTCGTTGCATTTTTCCATTGCTTTCTAGGCTTTCTGCAGCTCGGCTAGTCCTTTTGCTTGCTTTTCTTTCAACCTCCCCTGTTGTCTTTCAGGGTCATTGAGGCTGTATAAACTCCTAAATGACTATGAACAGATGGGCAGGATCTTTAGGTTCATACATATCAGTATCTGTGCATGTCTGTTAAACAAGGCTCTGTGTGTGGGTGGGATAATCTTGCAATACCCCCCACCCCCACCCCCACCCTTTTTTGCCATTTTACCTATTTTGCATTCTAAATAAAGTCAGTGTTTATCGCCACAGGAGACTTCTGTTGAGTGAGAGGATGCTGGTCTCTCTGCACTAATAACAACTGGGTCACCAAAGCAAAGCCCTCATACCCACATCTTCTCTAACTGTGGAATTAAGTCTTCATTATTGCCAAACAGGGCAAAGGATGTTGTGTTTGCACACAATGGAGTTTCCAGGCCCAGAAGACTAGAGCAGAGGTTAACTGCTATGATTGCGCCTTAGAAAGTAGGAGCTGCCAAGAAGATATGGTTCCTGTGCAGGCACCTCATCTTAAAAGGTTTTGTGCCCACATTTACCCTAAAGTTGTTATGGATAACTGTTATTGTGGGATGGAAAGGATCACAACTGAATTCCCCTATGGTTACGATGAAATTAGGCGCGTATGTATTTTCCCTTTCAGTCATGGGGAATTCCTAGCCGTAGCCTTAACGTTTTCAGGCTAAAATATTGAGTAAATATTGTGTAAAACCCTTTGTTTTTTTTCATCTCTCTGGAAACGGCAGCGGAAGTGAACTCATAGTGCTCACAGGCTCATATACATTCAACTGCCCTTCTTAAAATAAACTTACTTTTCAAGTATGTTTGTTTAGTGATGGGCTTTTGCTTGTTTAAATCCAAAAAACACTCACGCAAGAAATCACCCATATCATTACTGTTTACAACTCCCTATTGTTATCACAGCATTCAACTGTCCAAAAGATTTGTGTTCAAGTTCCTGTTGTTAAACTACAGAAGATCCTGTCCCCCCACATGTGCATTTGCTCGCTTTCCATCTCGCCGCTTTTATTTTCGTCTTATCCATGTAAGCTTGCCCATATGTTCAATGCAGTTTCTCCACAAATTATTCTCACAGTGCCGTGTCCTAACTCTCTACACCGAGCCCTTCTGGCAACGTTGCTCTTATCCAAACACTCATCACATAGCAGCTGGTTCTAATTACGCCATACTTCCACTTTCATGTCTTTAAATTAGTCCAAAAGCCATTTATTTGACTCTGACACCAATACCCCGATTTTCACCGACCTCCCTCCCCCCTCCCCACACGTACGCACACACACTCGCAACCACACCTCATCAGTCAAAGGGTCCTTCGCCATGGCAACAGTAAATGAAAGCAACCTGAAAGAGCCCCCAGTGAGTGGCGGATGCTGGGGCTGCCTGCATTGTTGGAGGGAGGATCTGGCAACCTGCAATCACAAGCCCTCTATTCAGGCCCTCTTTAGTATTACTCAGCAAGTCAGGATTTACTGCATCATGGCTTCCGTTCTTTTCAGCTCTGACTGGCACATTGGCATGAGATAAGTGCCGCTTGGAAACGTGGCACAGTGGCTGCTCATGCACAATGCTCCATTGCTCTTACACTGTTTGTGTGTGTGTGAGAGAGTGTCTATGCATGCATGTCTGTGTGTGCATTGTGCGAACCCGTAATGAATCTGAATGAATTATGTTTTGGTCCGACTTCCAGGTCCTGGATGTACGTCCGGAGTCAGAGACTATGCTCAGCGAAGGAACGAGGGTGTGTGCTTACTGGAGTGAACGCTCACGCTGCTTATATCCAGGCTACGTTCGGAGAGGTGAGACATCGACTTTATATTCAACCGCATGAGCATACAGTCACATTTTTAGCATATCTGAGGAAGTGCATTTGTGTGTCTTGCAGGTGGTTCATCTGATGAGGGGAAGCAGGGAGGAGTGATGGTAGAGTTTGATGACGGAGATCGAGGAAAGATTTCTCTCCCAAACATCCGCCTCCTGCCTCCAGGATACCAGATTTACTGTGGGTGCCTCCTCTCTGCGTAATTGCTAATCTGACCTTTCATGTTGCAATGTATCGTCTAGCTGTAAATGCTGACAAATCTTCTACTCTTTGTCCTTTAGGTGGGGAGTCCTCTCCTGCCCTGCTGCTACCCAGTGGGACAACAGCCAAGAGAGGTTCCAGTCTGGAGCAGGCTCCCATCAATGATAGACCCTCTGACAGACTCAGCACTAAAAACACTGTCACCAACGCCCAAAGTCTAACTGTCATTAAAAGAAGACCAGGTAAGATTTTTTTTTTTCTTGAAAACCACTAATTTCACCTCATATTTCTCATAAATTGAAAAAAAAGGGAAACCAAAGAAAAAAACGTATTACCCTGAGTAACTGAATTGTGTGCATTATTTATGTGCTTGTTTTAACAAATCATTGAAGCTATACTTCGCTCAAGCTTTAGCTGTGTGAAGCATTTTGACAAAAATGCCATGTCATTTTAGCAGCATTGTAGCAGTCAAACTATTCCAAGTGTCTTTTGATTTATTCTTACGTAAAAAAAAACATTCTTGATTTACCCTGACATACAGCAGCTGTCTTTGAAATCCAAGGGTTCTTGATGATAATTCAGTATTCAGTGTGTTTGTACACAATTAGCTGTGCAATCCAACATAATCGTCTTACAAAATATACTATTGGTAATGTTTGGTTTTTGTTCCATCTCCGTCTAAACTCCAGTATTTCTAATATTGTGTTGACATCATGCATATAAACTTAGGGTGTCAAAATTAGCAGAGTTGAATTAAGACACTTGGCATAGTCTCAGTCTAAAATTAGAAGCAGAAAAGAACAATAGGACATACTGTGAAGGTATTTTGTTGTATGGTCTTACAGCAAACAAGTGTCAGAATACAGTAACTACAAATCAGCCACTGCCATGTTTCATTATTTGTGATGCACTGCTAAACCATATGTAATGTCTTTCCTTCATTCTAGGAAGACCAAAGGGGTCTGGGAAAAAACAAAAGCAGCAGCAGGCAGAAAATGCCAATAAAAATCCTTCACCTTTCCTGGGCTGGTCTTCATTAACTAACACTAGAAAGAGAACGTCTGACAATCTATTTCAGTTCAATGGGGCACCCAGAAAGGCCTTGAGAGGGAAGGAGGATGACCTTTTCTCCTTGCCTCACAACCAGGTACTGGCCTCCATCCCAAGCAAAGGCCTTTTCAGCAGCAGCTCGTTTGAGGTGGACTCCTTCAGAAGCATTGCAAATGGTTACTCATCCTTCTGTACTCAGTCTACAGGACCAAGTCCAGGTTTACCTCTGGGCCCCAGAAGTGGGCTGTACAGTGAGAAGCGCAGGCAAGAAGAACTGGTTATGCCGAGGGCCAGGAAATCTGGACAAGAATTCCTGGTCAAGTTAGATCATGAAGGAGTGACTTCCCCCAAGACAAAAAACAGCAAGGCTCTGCTGCTGCGAGGTGGATCTTCAAATGTGAGTGGAATGCCTAGGACAGAGGCATACTCTCACCCAGTCCTGCTGGTTAAAGACAACAAAAAGGGTGGTGCCTCCAGGGTAGAACTTCTCCTGAAAGGAGCCACACCCACAAGAAAGCCTTCTCCATCTCTGCGTCTGGGGGATTATGGTAACTTGGGCTTCAGCTCTCACAGAGAGTGTCACAGCTCCTACTCTGATCTGGATGATGATGAAGAGGAAGAAGAAGAGGAGGAGAGGAGCAGGGCTGCACTGGCTGCAGCCTCAGGAGGTCTAAGGACAGCTGGCCGTTTCCTTTCTCGTCTCTCTGTATCCTCCTCCTCTTCTGGTTCTTCAAGCTCCTCCTCTTCAGGCTCTCTGTCCAGTTCTAGCCTGTGTTCCTCTGACAACGATTCATCCTACAGCTCAGAAGATGAGGATAGTTCCACACTGATGCTGCAGAGTTGTCTATCCTCCCACCGTGGGCTACTGCAACCATCTGAACCCTCTACTTCTTCCAGGCCTCGCCAGCACTCCTTTGTGGCCAAAGCAGTGGCCGTTTCCAATGCCAAAGGAGGCCCACCCGACCAGATCTCCAACAGCAAGTCCTTGAAGAGAAAAGAATGCACAAACTCCACCTCTAAATCAATTAAGGAATTTGTGAAGAAACCTAGAATGCTTCCAGATGACAGCTCATTTATTCCAAGGCCCAAGATGTCTGCATTCCTCGCAGGACGACAAATGTGGAGATGGTCAGGAAACCCTACACAGGTGAGAATAATAAATATATATTTTCATCTTTCTACTACATGCTTTGTTTAGCTAATGAAGATTTACCTTCTTTTCTTTTATATCATTTCAGATAGCTTAAACTACTATGTCACTAGAGGTCAAGAAATGTCAATAATAACCATCATTATCAAAGAAGATTGGTCAAAGTGTCTGGTTTTCCACAGAGGCGAGGTCTAAAGGGCAAGGCCAGGAAGCTTTTCTATAAGGCCATTGTGCGAGGCAGAGACACAGTGAGAGTGGGAGATTGTGCTGTGTTCCTCTCAGCTGGACGCCCTAACCTCCCCTATGTAGGTCAAATTGAGAACTTCTGGGAGTCCTGGACCTCCAGCATGGTCGTCAAAGTCAAGTGGTTCTACCACCCTGAAGAGACCAAGTTAGGAAAGAGGCATCGAGATGGAAAAGTAAGTCGTGACGGTACAGGGCATAGAATATTTGTGGCATATGGAGCTTTTCAAATGATGGTATTCTTTCTTTGTTGATTTATGGATAATGTGACACAACTAACCCTGTCATTTTCCTATCCAGCATGCCCTGTACCAGTCATGTCATGAAGATGAGAATGACGTCCAGACTATCTCTCATAAGTGCCGGGTGGTGAGCAGGGAGGAATATGAGTGTCTGACTCGTAATCAGAAGCCGAACAGTAACTCCCCAGAACTCTACTACCTGGCTGGGACGTATGATCCCACCACTGGTCAGCTGGTCACTGCTGAAGGGGTTTCCATCCTGTGCTGAACCTCCATGAGGACACTATGGCGGACTTCTTTGTAGGACGGATATGCTTTCAACTACGAGACTGCTCAGCCTTGCAGAATGACAAATGTTCCTTGGGTATGCCTCAAGGACTCATGGACTAAATGTCAGCGCCAAAGCAGGGCTGTCTGAGATTACACACTGGAGTCTGTTGGCGTCTAACCTTTGTGGAAGCGAAGGGGATGTCCATAACTGGTTGATTCTTTCATGAAGAATAGTAAAAAGTCTGGGTCTTCCTGGGCTTTACCAAATTTTAATAAGTGGCGTTTGAATCATCTAACTAATCTTTTTTCAAAGATCATATGTGATTAATAGTTCACAACTGGTTTTAAGACTCATGCTTCCAGCTCCTATCATACGTCACCAAAGGAGAGCTGAGATTGCATTAGACTGTGCAAAGTATAAATGAGGCTCAATAGTCACCGTGGACCAATTCTTTAGAGGTAGCCTTACCTGAGGGAATGGAAATGAAAGAGAGGCATGGGGCTCTCCCTAGGCCTCTTCATTCCAGGGAAGTTGAAAACATGTATAGGACTTAAAGTTGATGTCTGTAAATATTTTGAATTTTTCCCAATCAAGCCATACACTTCAGTACCTCTCACCTGTCTTAACTGTTCAGGTGTACATTGTACAGTTCGATTATTGTATTGTTGTCTGTTGTCTATATGTACATAAAAGCTATTTTATATAGGAGTTTATTGTATATATGAGATGTATCTTTCCATGTTTGCAATTGATTTATTTTTATATGGGTGTAGAATACGTTACGTTGTGTTTTTCCTTTGCTTTGGGAAGTCAAGATTGGAAATGTTAGTGTTGCACTGCATATGCCCTGCTGAGACAGACCGAGACAGACAGAGCACAGACAAAGACAGAAGGATTTAGTCTATAACAGGACAAGACTCACTCTCTGAGAGAGAGGGGTCACCCTGTTTAAAAAATAGGTCAAGTGGCTTTTTGTATAAGTGTTCTGTTACTTCACATTTTTGTTAGCCTATTTTTTAAGAAAAACACCTTTTTATTTATGTACCTCTCAGTTGGTCATCCTTGCAAAGCAGATCCCACTGGACTGCAATCACGGGTCAAAAATGATTTAAGATCAGTGATATGAGTGTACTATTATGACACAATATTTGTGTGTGATGAGTGTCCTGGCATCACTATAATCATGTCCACACAAATCAATTTAGAACAAGACTTGGTCGTTTAATGAAAAATGTTATGGAATACAAAATACCAAAGTGTCTTTATTACCTTAACTTTCTTTTATTTAATTTTTTTTAAGCACCTGTACTGAACTCAAATCAGACATCACTGGTAACTTAGAGAATATTTGTCCTCCACCATGTGCATATGTATTGGCTTTGCATTGTGACAATGGTTTCTTGCACATGTACCTGCAGTTTTGTTTAGTACAAAAATATGCAGCAAAATGCCACCTGGGGGTGTGACTATGAAGGTCAAGGTACTGACAAAGTAAGATGTTGAGTACTGATTTATTTGTTGAAATCAGACTATTTTAATTTTGTTAGCCATCTGCATCTATTTTGTACAGTATAAACACATACTCAATGCCAACTGTGAAGGACAATCAGATTCACAAAGCAATGGACATAGGGTAGGTTCACTCAATCTGAAAATTACTTAAGTTTATTTAATTTGTGCCAAGTACATTTTCTCTGTTTTTTGTCTTGTTTGATATGCAATCCTGAGTTTGTTTGTTTGTTTATTTTTATTTTTGTTCACAAAGTTTTATTTTGTTTGCCAACATTTTATTTATTGTCAATGTTGCTGTTTGTTCATGCCAAGAGCGCTTTATGAGAATGTGACATTGTTTTTCTTGGTGTGATGTCGCATTTGCATTTCTTAAATAAAACTGGTCTTGTAGAGACCATCTAGTGAAAAGAAATAAAGCAACACTGGATTCTTCTCATCCACAAACCTCTGTGAATGAATTCTATTATTTTAGCTGTGTCCCCTTCATCCTCCTGTGGCTACCAGTTTACTGCACCTGCCATTACCTACATACGCATTACATATCAACACATTTCTGTTTTATGAACATAGACTGTTCATAAAACGTATAGACAATTATTTTCTCTGCGTTAAACACAGAAATAACATTAAAAGTGCAGTAAAACTGTTGCGACACACCGATTTCTGTGCTCACCTCATAGACCGTATATGGTTTACATACTGTATGTGGGTGATATATATATACGTGGTGGAGTAAACATTAGATTGCCACTACTTCTTGTAAGTGACAAAAAGAAAGTGAGATATTTCAGAGGGTCCCTGTGAATTCTGAAAAACACTGATTGAGTAGGTTTCATAATGTGACGAAGACATTGGCTTTGAAAGACTAAATAAACAGAGCTGTACCTTCCAAATGGGGCAAATATACACATAATTGAAACCAAAGAAACAATATTTTAAAAACAAACTATCGCTTTCCAAGTGTAGGTGTACTGTTTTCTCCACATGTCTAAGGGAGATTTGTTGCTGTTGTAAAAGGAAGGAAAAAAAAAAACATCAGCATCACTTGAATATAACAATCGCCAGAACAGCAAGTCAACAAGTCAGTAAGGAGCCTTCATGATAAACTCATTCTTTTGATCATTTTGTGTTGCCTTTACTGCTACTGGTTATGCTGTTTATCCCTACCTACATCACATGACTGATTTCTTCGTTAACCATCCCCCCACCCTCCACCTCTTCCTAGTTTCTTATTACTAGATGTGGTGCAGCTCTTGCCTTGTTGTGCATTAAGTATATCGCATATCTCATTTATACGTCCATGCTTGGCTCTGTTCTTACCCCATCGGGAGGTTTAATGTGCTCCCCTTAGAATTTTGAGGCTACTTGGATTCATTTGCAAAGCACCATCAAGCACAAAGCCCCTTTTCTGCCAAATTCTTTTATTTGTTGCAATAAATCCTTTGATGTAAGTGTCTCTGGCTGAACTAAGTTTATGTGAGCTTTGTGTTCCTTAGTAAATACAGACAGATCTGTCACAGCATCAAATAAAGCCTGCTGGGTTTATCTGCCAAGCTCTGTAAATATGATATTGACTGATTTAGAGATAGATATGAATTTTTGTGATTCATGATAAAGTACATTTGCCTATTTTCGTTTGAAAATGAATTGGTCCGTTTGTAGTGTATCTGTGGGGGTGGTAGAAAACCATGTGACAGGCCCAAAAGCTACTAAAAACTACCATGTTGTCCCCAGGCCTCGAACAAGTCTGCTGGCATTCAGTGTGTTAATGTTTTTAAGATTTGTAAATGTGTTATTTCTGTATTTGTGCTGCAATTTTATATATAAACCTGTGGTAAAGGATTGAGATTTTTATAGATGATATAAATATAACAAAAATGTAAGATTTTATTCAAATTCATTGTTTGTTTCCAATCAAAATAAAGAGATTTATATATATATACAGTATTCATATCTCTTGAATGAGGGCTAGAAGTAAAGAAGGGCGCTCTCTAGTGGAACACAAAGCACACTACATCATACAAAAAAAAAAAAAAAGCTGACAGACTGAAACGTTGTAACCCCACCCCCACCTCCACCCCAGCCCCCCCTCAAATTTTGACTCAATAACAAAGCCTAGTTTCATGAATTTTTAGTAGAGCACAAAGTGCCAGCAGCAATATGTACCCTTCTCTGTGCAGTGCCTGGAGCAGCAGGTATATTCCTCTATCCACCCACACCACCCATAACCTACAGCATCTGTCCATTTGCATACATGCTCATCAGCTTTGACAAAGCCAATTTCTGTAACCTGAATCAGTGAAATAACCACTGGCTAGGCCTGAAGGAAACACAATATGGGTCAGTGACCTTTCTCTGCAGGCCCAGGGGTCTTTTTGTCCTGCATGGAGCCGGAGCGCCGCCACCCCTCCCCCTAATGCCCAGACAGGGGCTAATGGGCACATCAGTCATCTCCAACAGTGGCCCAGTGAACACAGTTCTGTTTACCACCACAACCTTTTGTGTTGACTAAGGCCACTGCCCCGTGTCCGAGCCATGGCCCTTCCTGCATCGGCAGCATGGGGGAAAGAGGGACTCTCCACACCACTCAAACTGAGGACAGGGTTAGGAGTGGGTGTGTGTGGGAGCAATCATGTTTTGAGATGGTTTTCCTTCATTACACCTCAATGCTTAGAGATATGCAGTCAGCGTGGGATTCATCAGGGATCTAATAATGTAATTTTGGGCTGTAATTAAGATCTTTTTGACAAATTATACACTAACCAAGCAAACATGCTAAATCTGTGGGGAAGATAAAGTCACCAAAACATGTCAATGCACCAAAGCTATCGCTGATCTGGAGCACAATTTCAAGTGTTTAATGTGGGTTCTGTTATCTCTTATTCAACAGACCGGTCTGCCTGCCTTAAGTTTCAGTGCCCATCTAGTTCAGCTTGGTCAGCATCCAGACTGTGTTGCTCAGTGTCAACAGGAGGAATGCTTTCCTGCACAAATATCTACACCTCATAAATGTCTCGCCCTCTGCTTGACCCTGTCTGGCCTCTGACTGTGAGGGGGTTGAACAGGGGACAGACAGCCTGGTGCGTGTGAATGTGTGTGTGTGTGTGTTCATGTGTATGTGTGTGTGGGTCTGTGAGTGTGTAGCCATGGGGTTGAGGTGAGGTCTTGGGTCTTGACAAGGTGCTGGTAGAAGCAAGCAGGACAAACAGATCACTCAGGTACTGACTGCTTCTTTATAAACGGCGCCAAAGCTCTGATCATTCATTTTTCAGTTATGAGTTTTCAGCTATGGAGCCGTTGCGGAATAACCCTCAGCGACACTGTACACAAAGTAAAACTGCAGCTCAAGCGAGAGAAACATAAAGCATCTTTGTTTTCTGCATTTGAATATACACAAATATTGAAGAGCAACATTTATAGGTGAGAGAAACATGATATGAAAACTGCAAATGCTAAGTCAAATTAAATGCGAGTCTGAAAATCTTCTAGTAGGTCTGATAATAAACAAGACCCCTATCATTTTGTTTAAAGACTCTATCCAGAATCTGCAATTAAACAACTTTAGGTGCAAGAGACCCTGAAAAGCTGTAAGTGTGTGTGTGTTAACAGCATGAGTAATGAAAAGCCTTCAGAGGTGGACTGAATGCTGAACCACCTGCTGTTTGCAAATACCTACACTTCCTCATAGGGATACGCTGGACTAATCTGTACTCCTATGTTGCACATGCCAACGCACAGTCAACTCACTAACCGTGCTGTGTATTGCTTGTTGTGGCTAAGATCCAGCCATGCCACCCCTAATCCATTTCTCTGTTGCTCATTATTAGTGGCTTGTAAAGATTCTGTATCAGCTATGCTAAAAGAGCTTTTCACAGTATTACATGGGATTACTGTTGCTCCTTGCTACATATGTTGCGGACAAACTCTAATGTAATATTGCCAACCTGTTTGCATGGCAGTGACAAAATAACAAATGTATGACTCATTCTCAGGGTCTTTCCCTGTTTTTATTTGTGGATTGGATTGAGTCCTTTATTCCAAAATCATTCCTGTTTTGTCTGTCCTTCTGTTGTGTAATACAGTAGTGGTGTGTCCATAAATGAATGAGCAAGGAAAATAAAAGAGCGGATAGGTCCAGGAAAAAGGATTCAGCATGTTTGTCCATTCAGGGGCAAAAAGGGAGAATTTATCAGCCACACAGTCTTAACAATCTAAGACATGTATCTTGCTTTAAACGGTTCACTTATAGCATATTTACCCAGCTTGGTAACAATCGCAGAATACTGTGTAATCAGGGGATAGTTTTGAAATGGTTCTCTGAAATCAAAAGATCAAATCTTTCCAAGCCTCAGTTTTTTTTTGTTTTTTGTTTTTTTTGCACAAGAGCTAAAGAAAAAAATTAGGGTAGTTCAGCTGAGCCCGTTTGTCTGCACAGTCAGAGGGGCTGGTTGTCACTTGTCACTCCTAAATCGCTTACATGAATATGGGTTTTATCAAGCATGTATGGATGTCTTCATGTGTCACGTTACAAAGCGATACTGTGCCAACAGCCGCAGTAGTTCTCTCGCTGTCCGCAGCACTCTGGTGACCTAACAATTGCAGGAAAAATTACAGCCTGTCATAAAAGGGGTCAGGCGCCTTCTCATACTAGCCTATTTGTAAGTGCAGGGCAGCTGGAAACACTCTATATCTCATAAATAATAAAGAAAGACCTTTGGCTGTCTTAAGAGGTAGATCTGCTGTGAGCTTATTTAATTAGTGTCATCCAAAATCCAATCAAATTAAGGCATATGTTAAAAATAAGATTTTAAAGCTGAGACACTGGGAATGGTCTCCAAGATAGTTTGTCTCAACTCTTGTAATTATCCATCCCAACAAAATAAAAATAAACAGGTCCAGCACTGTATGGGGACTGACAACGGAGTGGTTCAGTTCTTTCAGATTACACTCCCCTTTCTTTCCACACCTTTCTGTGTAGTGGTGTTTGTGCATTCCTGTGTTGACAACCCCTCCGTCTAGTTCTCTGGGGTGTTTACCCCCTTTCACGGTAGCAGAGAAGCAGCTCCCACCATCCCATCTCTGTTTACATTGCTCTTCTCCTCTATTTACTTTGTGCTCCAGCGCCCTGGCGCACCATGCTCCAAACAGCTGTTCCATTATGGGGAGAGCAGGGCGCTTCAACCACACAGTGCTGCCACACAGCTCTCTCTGACAGCCCACCATAGT